CCTAGGGATCATTGTTGAAATGGAGGTAGAACGCCGGTCTGGGGAAACGGGTGACATGTGCGCTCAGGATGTAGGGGTTTTGCGGGGTAATTATATAGAACAGAGCTGACTAGCGAGCTCGGGAGAGTCTGGTTGTGGTCACGGAGAGAAAGCACACGCGCTTAGCGCGCGTGTGCGCGTTTCTTGTCTCTCTGGCCAAGATGTGACTACACTGCTGTGCAAAGATATTAAAGTTTATTCAATTTAATACACAAAATTTGGATTTATATCATCATTTCTACATCGAAGATTTAAATTCAACGTTACAAAGCTATAGCTAAATCTTCCAAACATCATGTAGTAAGAACGAGCACACAACGCCGCCACACACCTACACACACACTCACGCACGCCACGCGCACACACGCGCATATATATATATATATATATATATATATATAGTAATAAAGCAGTAAAGTCACACGATTGTCGTCCGTATTCATGGCAACGCGCGAATTGTAGTAGAATCATTCATTTTTGATTATCTAATAACGCATTGTATTTGTTTTTGATTATTTGATTCTATTCCAATGTCTGCCTGACCTGATGAAAGGATGTAATCTCAAAATCTCGGTCAATTAAACTTTAAACACCCTTATTCTATACTTTGACTTTGTTTTTCTATATATATATATATATATTATATATATATATATATATAAATATATACGAGCAAAAACAAGGTGATGAAGCCTGCGTATATGTATGACACAGTATGTGCTCGGGATTCCGCCAGGACGCTGCGCCACGCCTCTGCCAATGAAGATTGACGCTCATTTGAGCAGCAATGTCAAACATCGGCCGCTGCCAATATTTCGCCAATAAATATAAAAAGTCCGTGAGCGAATCGAACGCAGGTCGGCAGCAGCGATTTAGTGAGTGAGCGCGCTACACACACACACACACACACACACACACACACACACACACACACACACACACAACACACACACACACACACACACGCACGCACACACACACACACCACACACACACACACACACACACACACACACGCACGCACGCACACACACACACACACCACACATACACACACGACACACACACACACACACACACACACACACAACACACACACAACACACACACACGGACATAGCGACGCTTGAGGACGTAGAATGCATGAGAGGTTATAGTCCGCGAGCGCGCTAGCGGGGAAAAGCACCTGTCTTCGTGCGTGCGGTACAGCGTGGAGAGAGACACTAACGGGAAGACGTGCGTGCGTGCGCGTACAGCGTGGAGAGAGACACTAACGGGAGACGTGCGTGCGTGCGGTACAGCCGTAGGAGAGAGACACCTAACCGGCAGACGTGCGTGCGTGCGGATGAGCGTGGAGAGAGACACTAACGGGCGACGTGGCGTGCCTGCTGCGGTTACAGCGGGGAGAGAGACGCTAACGCGGAGACCTGCGTGCGTTGCGGTACAGCGGGCGAAAGAGACACTAACGGGAGACGTGCGTGCGTGCGGTACAGCGGGAGAGAGACACTAACGGGAGGACGTGCGTGCGTGCGTACAGCGGGAGAGAGACACTAACGGGAGACGTGCGTGCGTGCGTACAGCGTGGAGAGAGACACTAACGCGGAGACGTGCGTCGCGTGCGGTACAGCGTGGAGAGAGACACTAAACGCGGAGACGTGCGTGCGGCGCGTACAGCGTGGAGAGAGACCACTACACGGAGCACGTGCGTGCGTGCGGTACAGCTGGAGGAGAGACGTAACGGGCAGACGTGTCGTGCGTCCGGTACAGCGTGGAGCAGAGAGCGCGAACGGCGAGACGTGCGTGCGCTGCGGTACAGCGGGGAGAGAGAAGCTAACGGGGCAGACTGCAGTGCGCTGCGGTACAGCGTGGAGAGAGAAGCTAACGCGGAGACGTGCGTGGCGTGCGGCTACAGCGGGAGAGAGACACTACACGGAGCCTCGCCTGCGACGGCTCGAGACTAAATATTCGATAGCGATTTTTGAGCCAATTTCTGCTCGTTTGCATGGCCGTCGGCGGTTTGGCCTCCGTGCACCGGCACGGCATCCTTCTTTAACTACGGCAACATTATTCCCCCGGGCTGCCGCCGCTCTCGCTCTCGCCTCTCTCTCTCTCTCTCTCTCCCTGCTAGCAGCTACAGCGAGAATGCATCGTGCGGGCGTTTTTTTCATCGCTCCAACGCCGGTTGACGTCGCGTATATAAATACGTGATTGTTAATGAGTTACGGAGAGATCTCTCTCTCTCTCCTTCACACGCGGTTCCTCCCTCACAGTGATGAGAACCCTCTCACTGGACGAACACGCCTTCTTGTGACCGCCCGCACTGATCCCGTCTCTTCAGCGAGCGCTCCGTAAGTGTGACTCTCACAGGGCCGTGACCTGCGACTGCCTCTGTTGGCAGCTCACCCGCTAAATGGAGGATTTTACGTTGAGACTTTCGCAGGAGATAGAAACACAACGATCGCTGGTGGTGTTGTTTCGTTGCTCGCATGTCTTACGCAGATTAGCGGAATTAAAAAGCTAAGCGCGCGATGAAGCATTCTCGTGCCTGCGGGCGGAAAAGCTAGGCCAGACGCTAATTACGCGATGTCGCCGCAGGGAGCCGACTTTCGCTGCCAACAAAACGTTATTGCCCAGCCATTGCCGAACGCGCAGCCTCATAGCATGCGCGCACAGGCACCGCCACCACAGCGCGCGCACAGGCACGCACACCACGCGTCCGCTTACATTACGCACACATGCGATGCACGTTACGTTACTAGCACGTACGCACGCACAGACAACATACACAAATATACACATGCGCGCAACACCACACACCTGCACCCGCACGCGCGAACTCACAGACACACACGCAGCGCGCACCCACACCCACACACGCACACACACACGCGCACGCACACATGTACACGGACCCACACATGCCCACACACGCGCGCACACACCACGCGCAACGCACATACCTGCACGCGCGCGTGCAACACGCACACACTCTCTCACACACCACACACACACACACCACCACACACAACACACACACACGCACGCACACACGCACGCACACACTAACGCGACACACACACACACCCACACACACACGCACGCACACACACGCGCACACACACACACACATCAAACGCTGAGCGAATTTCTACATGTCTCCGGCAAGGGATCGCTAATCGCTCGACTGCTGGTGTTATGTGCAGCTTTTCATCGCGGTATCGACTTTGACAGCGCACTAATAAATCAGGTGGCTGCGCGCACACAAACGCACCGCCCAACACGACTTGCCATTACGGCGCCAGTATAACAACCAGCCTCACACACGCTGATTGCGCGTGTTGGCCGTCAGATGAAAGCATTCTCCGGGAACCGCGCGTAAGTGGTAGAGTAACGATAGACACACTCCGTTAACTCCTGATGGATCAGTGCCAACTTGCTGCGACTGTCTGCTGAGTTCGCGGTGAACGCCCACGTTCATGCGTCGAGTACAAGGTTAGAGCATAGCCCCTAACCTTTCTCATATCCACATGTAGACACATGCCCCCAACGCACGCGTGCACGAGAAGAAGAAAAATAAATGAGAGCAGATATTAAATATATTATATCAGGCGTTTGATAAAGACAAAAATTGTCTTTATTTTGTCTTGAATTATTGTCTTCTTATTAACTCCTGATTTATATATATTATATATATATATATATATATATATATATATATATATTATATAATATATATCAGGGGCGGATTAAGGCCTCACTGGTGCCCTAAGCCCACTGACCAATTTTGGTGCCCCTCTCTTTCCACAACTGACCCAGTCCATTTTAGTTGTTGACCTGTCTGACCAGAATATACAATACAGGTCTTCAGCAGTACAAAAATGTATGTAGGATTTCAAGGAGGGTCGGTGGATAAACAGGCGGGGGGATATGGGGCGTCCTCCCCCAGAATTTTTTCAAAATGTAGATCGCAGGAGATGGTATTTGAGGCAATTTTGAGCATACATGCATGTACACCTTCATTCTGACTACCAGTCAATCTATTTGTTTTTTTAACACGTTTCAGTTGTGAGAAAGACCCTCTTCTACTTGTGCAGTTTGGCTGACCACTTAACTGTTAAAAATATTCTTAAGGCAATTTCAATTTTGAAAGCCACTCTCTCAGTTTGTCTGTTCTGCTAATTGTGTATGAAAAGTTTCAATTGCGGACGTTGAAAAAGTTTCTTGTGTTTTAAACTTATGAAGAACATATGAACGGAATGTCTTTTTTACCGATAGCCCTCTGTTAGACAAAGTGTTTTCATGTCATCTGGATAAGCATCAATAAGTGCTCTGGACAATGTCTTTGAGTACCTTTCACTTTCTGATAATTGCCGCGAATTAGCACCTGGCTTGGGTGGCATTAGGCGGCCCCTTGTATTGTATTGTATTGTGGCGGGCCCCTTGTGGCTACACCTGGGAAGTACAATCTTTATTTTTTTTTATTTCTTTATTTTCACTCTTTTCCCAACTTTGTGGTGCCCCTTTGGCCCTGGTGCCCGAAGCACGTGCTTAGTCTCTTTTTGCCTTAATGGTTAATCGGCACTGTATATCTATAATATATAATAAATAGATATATATATCATATTATAGCAAAGACGAGAGCGACAGAGACGAGAGCAGGGAGAAGATAGCGAGAACGTGTGCGGAATACAGAGAAGTAAAGCAGGACTAAAAAAGGATAAGGAGAGAGAATACGTATACGCGATGCATGCTCCCGGGTCACAAACCGATATCAAGCTAGCGCCACGCAGCCGCCGGCCGGCCACGACAAGCGAAAGAAGAGAACCATTATGTAGAATTATAAACAGCAGCTCATCACGCTATAGAATCAAACGCACGCGCTTTGCAATTGTGAAAACTAGGTCTTCCGATTTATAATGACATTCGTATCGTGAAACATAACGGTGAATAACGTACGCCAGGGCCCAGCCAGCTGACATGGCGGCAGTTCCGTAGTGCCTTTGTGTATAATTGCGGAGTGTATTCCGCTCGCTGCTGGCCTAATCTCGCGGACAAACTTCGTTAAACAATATCGACCCGGACTATTGCATGTGTACTCGCGCCGCTCGCGAGCTCTGACTTACTCTGCTCAACAAAGGCCTCGGTACAGGCCCAGCATTCCTGCACGTCAGCTGTCAGCCGTTGTGGCTGTCGTTCACGGGCCGTCACGAACCGCCGCCTTGGACGCAATCCTGCGTCCTCTTTAAGTCGCACGTCGCGCTTCTTAATCAGCTTTGACGCTGGACGCTGACGCTTGTGAATCCGTTCTTGGCGTCGGCTGACGCTGACGTATGAATCAGTTCTTGCGGTCGCTGACGCTGGGGCGGATGAGTCCGTTCTTGACGCGTCGGCTGACGCTGACGGAGAATCAGTTCTGCGTCGCTGACGGGATGAATCATTCTTGCGTCGCTGACGCTGACGCATGAATCATTTGGTGCGTCGCTGACGCTGACGGATGAAAGCAGGTCTTGTTTGCTGACGGTAGAGGAGGTTCACTAATGACATGTACCGCAACACACGACACCTCACTGTTTGTTGCAGCGCGAACAGTATATGCACGCACGCACAGACGCGTTCACGCTCGCACTCGCGCGCTTGCTCTTACATATATCCCTGTAGCGTCGTGCACACACGCTCGCTCGCGCACATGGTGAGATGAGGCCGGTCTCCAAATGAAATTGTCAATAGTCGGCGATAATTCAGTTAAAGAGTAATGCGCAACGAGACCTCGCGTCCTGCTTGTCGCTAACTGTGACGCGCTGCTGCTGCTGCTGCTGCTGCTGGTGGTGGTGACGGCGGCGGCGGTGGTGGTGATGCTGCTGCTGTTGTTGTTGCTGCTGGTGGTGGTGCTGCTGCTGCTGTATCTGTTGCTGCTGTTACTGCTGATGCGGCTGCTGGTGGTGATGTTGCTGTTGATGTTTCATTTGCTGCTGCTACTGCTGATGCTGCTATTGATGCTGCTACTGCATCTGCTGTTTCTGTTGCTGCTGCTGCTACTGCTGATGCTGCTACTGCTGCTGCTACTGCTGCTGCTACTGCTGCTGCTACTGCTGCTGCTGCTACTGCTGCTGCTACTGCTGCTGCTACTGCTGCTGCTTCTACTGCTGCTGCTGCTGTGGCTGGTGTTGCTACTGCTACTGCTGCTGCCGGTGGTTGTGGTCCTGCTTCTGCTGCCACGCGTACAACAACGACGGAGCCCAGCTCGTATTAACACAGCAGCCGCACGAACGCAGCTGCACCGGTTGCTAAATATTGCATGCTAAAAGCACATGTAATCCGTCTGACGGACTCGGCAAGGCGGGAAAGCCGCAGACACGATCCGTCAGAGCGGCGGCGGCGCTACCATCGCCATCGTCTCAGATTAGCGCCGCCAGCGAGCTGAGCGTCAGCTGCAATACGACGATGACGCTGACGATGGCCGCTAGCAGACCCCGCGCGGCAAGCGCTAATGTCGCTGAGCGTCTTGATAGCGGCTTTAATCGCTGTGTCCGCTTCCGCACCAGCTCTCCGGAGAGAGAGAGAGTGCGTCCGTCGTCCCCTGCAAGCCTGCGTCTTACCTCACTGCCACCCTCAAGCCTGCACGCACGCACGCACGCACGCACGCACGCACGCATAGACTATGCACGCTTGCACGCACGCACAGACTATGCACGCACGCACACGCAAGCTGTATGCACGCACGCACACGCAGATTATGCACGCCCGCCACAGGCTATGCACGCACGCACACGCAGGCTGTGCACGCACGCACACGCAGATTATGCACGCCCGCCACAGGCTATGCACGCACGCACACGCAGGCTGTGCACGCACGCACACGCAGATTATGCACGCCCGCCACAGGCTATGCACGCACGCACACGCAGGCTGTGCACGCACGCACACGCAGATTATGCACGCCCGCC